CTCCCTCTCGCACACCTGTACCTGTGTCGCTCCCTCTCACAAACCTGTACCTGTGTCTCTCCCTCTCGCACACCTGTACCTATGTCGCTCCTCACTCACACATTGGATGCCAACAGCTCTATCACATACCCACCAATGCCTGTATTTAAGTATGTTTGATATTTAGTGGGAGACTTCATAGTCAGACCCCCTGTCTCCTCAGACATGTTTGCGCTGAGCAATTCTGACACGTACATTCATCAGATATGCTAAACTGTAACATGGAGCCCAGGTCACAGATGACTGTTATAGAAATAAATAAACTTTTTGTTTTGGTTATCTAACAGTAAAAAATTGCTTGTCGTTACTTAACTACAGCTTCACTCAGCAGGAGTTCTGTACCGGGCTGAAACGGGCCGGAGGTTCAGTAGGGGTGGCTCTACCTGGTCCTGCTTCTCTCATGACTAAAGCGGTTCTGCTTTAATAATAATAATAATAATACTCAGATGGAATTTGGTAAGATCCTCCTGCTCTGCCAGTGGGAATCATTACCAGAGCACCGATCTCTTCCTCATTTCACCTGCAGATCACTCCTCCTCAGTCTGTGGCTGTTGCCTGTAGTGACCACAAGAGGGCACCACAACACTAGCAGTGAAGGAAGTCTGTGGCTTTCCACTTTATGCTGTCAGACCGTGATCCCTCTGTCCAGCCTGGTCAGTGCTCTCTAATCTGGAGTGGTCATTTTGTCTCTGAGGATGTCCACTCTGTGCTGATGGACCCTGATCCCTCTGTCCAGCCTGGTCAGTGTAATCTGATCCTGCTGGGTTGAGGTCTCTTTGTCATTTGGAGTGGCTAAAGCAGAGAACAAAAACACCTGTTTTTTACACACACATGCACATAGCAACAGCACAGAGGAGATGATGAGGATAATAGTAGTAATAATAATAATCCCACACAACACAAACAAGTGGCTAAATATAACTCTGGCACAGTTCACACAGACAGGCAGCACAGCACAGTGAGCAATTCCTCGTGACTCTGAGGGAGCAGGCTGGACCTTCTCTCCCGCTGAGCTGCCCTGGGACAGACAGTCTGGGCAGGGGGACCAGTCTGGCCACACTGTGGCTTCCCGATGCAGGCAGCAGGGCAGGGGTCTGCTGCAGGGGAGACTGTAGTCTCATCCTTCGGATGAGACGTAAAACTGAGGTCCTCGCTCTCTGTGGTCATTAAAAAATCCCAGGGCGTTTCTCGAAAAGAGTAGGGGTGTAATCCCGGCGTCCTGGCCATATTTCCCCCTGGTCTTTACCAATCATGGCCTCCTAATGACCCCCCTCTCTGAACTGGCTCCATCGCACTATAGCAGTGTAAGCAATTAGTAGTATTAGTATCCAGAGCTCGGCGCTGCTCAAGGACCTCACAGGCAGTTCAATGCTTCACGAGCCAGGAAACCACTGCATACTGCGGCCGCCTCTAGGAAGAGACCGTGTCTGTGCCGTTCAGAGCAGAGGCCTCGGCCCTGGTTTCGCTCCTTGAGCACCGAAGGAGGCCACTGAGAAAGAAGTTCTATTTTTAACCTTCTTCTTGTCTCAACGACTGTGTTGCTAAGTGCTCTTGTGGATAATGAGCATATGAGCCCCTCAGTGCACAAGAGGGAGGAGAGGACAGGTGGAGGGTGAAGGTCTTGCATGTTGTTTTAAAAAGGCACCTGTCAGAACGTCAGCCAAAGACAATTGGCATGACCTGCACTCCTGCCCTCCTGCCTTCCCGCCCTCCTGTTGGGCTTCTCTCCTGCCCTCCTGCTCTCCTTTTTTCCCAAGCTCCAGCTGAGCTGTGTCATTCCCAGCAGGCCTTGCAAAAAGATGGGTTCCAGACCTTTCCTGCTCCCCGAAACCTGGCCGCAGCACCTTGGACTGGGAAACCTCCCACCTGTCTCTCTGTCTCCCTCTTGCTTTCCTGGACCACACGGCGCACCTGGAGACTAAGAGGGGCATTTAGGACTGAAATAAGGGGCACTGTTTTACACAAAGAGTGGTGGGGGGAGGTCAGGAGCAAATGGCCCAGTTATTTTGTCAAACCCAGTACCCAGGTTTCTTAAAACAAACACCCAGATGAAATATTCAGTTTACAATTAGCTTGGATATAGAAAGCAGAGCAGAAGAGCTGAACAGCTTCCTGTGCCTTCTCTCTGTCTCTTTCTTCCTCTTGCTGACCCTCCCGCAATGCACAGCACAACCTGATTCTAGCGGGGGGTTGCTCCTACCTGCAGTGTGTCGATTGAAGGCTGTGACTGCGGCCCGGTTCTGGGCAGACCCTACCTGCGCAGTGCCGTCAGTGGCTGGGAGTGGGCTGGCTCTGTTCTTCAGTCTATCCTTCAGTGCAGCAGAGCAGAGGAGGCTGGAGGGGGGCTTTCAGAGTCTCTGCAAGACAATCCAATCAATTAGTGCACAGAGAAGAGGGTGGAGGGAGGCAGTGGATTGATAAGTGGCTGTCTTTCTTGTCATCTCTGTTAATAGAGGAGCACTAGAACTCGGTCTCCGTGCAGGAAAGCTATATATAGAATTCTATAGAATTCATCTCCACTGCAACGACCATGTCAGGGGGGTCTAAGGGCGTGATGGTTGTGTGCCTATTGCTGGTTTGCGCATCTGTTAAAAAAAACACAAAAAGCATGAAACATGCCGATTTTTGGTATTAACAGAAGAAATGTTACCAGAGGTAGCCATTTCCTGCATCAAGCTCATTGATTGCTAGTATTTTCTGAACCAAGGATCTCAAAGAATCCTCTTTTAACAACATGGCTTGACTGCTATTCCAGAGACCAGAGTATTTGTAGTAAAAGGGTCAGTAGTAACAACAAAGTTAATTAACATGCAACTCAAATGACCATCAGAGTGTGACAGTGGTAGCGGTAGAATACCTGCCCCTCTTTGTGTGAAGAAGTGCCTCCATTTCAGTCCTAAAGGTGCTCTCTTGTATCAACCAGTGCTGCCCTCTCATGTTGTCACCCTTTCTCATCAGGCATGTTTCTGACAGTCTCCGGAGCCTGAGCAGGACCAGAGAGATTGTGATTTTCTCTGTCTGTAACTCTAGTTTCAGCCTCAGCTCTGGAAAGTTAAGGAGCTCAGCTATGGAGAGTTAAGGTAAGAGTGCTCAGCTGTGGAGAGTTAAAGACCTCAGCTCGGGAGCATCAGGGTGTTCAGTGGAGAGTTTAGGTGCTCAGCTGTGGAGAGTTAGGGTTAGGGTGCTCAGCAGGACACAATAATGTCGTAGACATAGTTCTGACTGCGATGTGGATGTTGGGTCAGCCTGAGCTGTGCTTCTAGCTGGCACTGACACTGACACCAGGTTTGCTGTTGCCTCCAGCGATGTACAAGAAGATCAGCACCAGCAAAGAGGCCACATGCATCGGCCTTCTTATCCATAGAACACCTCAGTGAGAAGAATGCCTCCTCTTCTACTACCCTACAGTTCCCAGCCGTCTGAGTGGTAGTGTACTGTGTCTGATGCCATGAATTTATTCTGTATACATGCAAAATAAAGACCAACACTCTGCAGGTAACATCAGCTTTTAAGTGCACTTTAATATAAATGCATTTGTTTAACAACAAAATACACTTATCAGCAACACAACTGTTTCACAATGTCCATTTTCTTAAATGTTTTATAAAAAAGGTTTTTTCTGTACATACTGTATTTATATAAATATACAAATTTTACTCCTTTCACATTCTGTGAATCACTGTACAGCATATACATATCTATAAATATGTATATACATAGAACATTTTTCTTAAACTTAGCAATTAAATAGCTAGAACTTATACAGGAATCAATCCTTATACTTGACCGTAGACAACTCTACGTTAACGTGACGACACGGAGGAACAGACACATTCTCTCCGTGTCGCTGGAGTTTAGTGTAACAGTACCCAGAACAAGAGTTCTTTTACCTTTGTTTCCGCAACCTGCGTCCCAATACTGAACCCCAGGAAAGACTGGGGGTTCTCTCACTGCGCTGGCACAGCCCCAGCCATGCCAGGCACCCCAGCTAAGCAACCGCAGGGCACTACTGAGCGAAGTCCACCTCACCAGGACCCGGGCGGCTGGCAGGGGGGTCACCACGGCGTTTCAAATATTGATGCCACAATCCCGATGGCCAGCTGCCCGCCCGCGGCTCGGTGCACTCCATCCCATCGGAATACAATCAGTGTGCTCGTTGTGCATCTGGCAGACACACAACTCTGCTATTATTCGTCTGGAGGGCAGTCTGTGCACCACATATAAAACAGCTCTACTGTGGCGCAGCTACTGCCTCTCGGTTTTTTTACATTTTTCTATACAACACATTACACAAGGTCTTAAAAGCCAGAAACATTGCAGCCACAAGCGAATATCCCATCAGCGTGAAGAAGCTCAACCAAGCAGTTGGGTTTTTTTTCAAGTTTTCAATATTGCAGTTCTGATACGACAGCAGCAGATGGCGCTCTCCTCCTTGAGAGGACCCCAGTGTTATTTCGGGCAGGGAAGCTCTAGGTCTGTGGGCGCGGTGTGGCAGGACACCTGTGGCTGGAGGGAGGACTTGTGTGCTGCAATGCTTCTCACTCCGATAACTCAGAAGCAGGACCCTTGACTCCTGCCCCTGAACTGATGTGAATCTGCAAGCTAGTCAATGCAGCGGCTCCTATTCAACACCGAGGTCAAATTGGGTCGTTGTTGTTGTTTGTTCTCCTGTGTATGCATTGAGCAAGCGAGCAAGCTTGTTTCTATTGTACCAACAGCAAGGAAAAGCTTTTTGTAAAAAAACATTTTTCTCGATAAGTTACATACAGATTACTCACTACGAGTGAATACAGATACATATGTAAGTCCACTTACAATGTCCTCTTTGTCTCCCAAATAGCTACAGCATGTTGCTATTCTATCCAGTATGCTCTTAATACAGTGCTTACAATCTCAGTGAATATGCTTTCTCTCTGTACAAAACTGAAGCTTCCATTATTATTATGCACTCAAACCGGCATCTCACCCAGAGTACATATTATGCACCTTTGTGGGAAAAAAATAGAGAAGACAACCTTGGTCCCATCAGTAGCTGAGAGCTAAAAACTTCAGTGAATATTTTCCTCATGTTAAATATTCTTCACATTTGGTAAAAGAAGCTCCACAAAATATGACAATATGCCATACTTAATGAAGTAAGTCACAGACTTATTTTAGAACGGAGGATCCCTTCCACTCCCATCTGCAAGACAAGACAAGACAGAGGAGAAGTTATTACTGGGAGTCCTGCAAGACACACAGAGAGCAGACACTGGCCACTGGCCACACGGCGAGCAGAGACACTGACCACTGACACTGGCCACTGACCACTGACACTGGCCACACAGTGAGCAGAGACACTGACCACTGACCACTGACACTGGCCACACAG